CCCTCAGTTAAAGTTCAGATGCTGTGATAAATATGTGATAAATAACTATAAATAGTAAAAAGAACTTGGTAGGCAGTATAATGCTGTTAAACCAACATTGATCTCTCAATAGAGCTGTCTGGATGCTGAGATAAATTTAGTCCGATCTTAGGAAAACTGGATGAGGTGCTGACTGCCCACTTAAGCATCATACTGTTATCACTTCAAATCCAGGGGTTTCCTTCCCACGGTACCAAGGGCTTTTCATCTTCCACGCAGGAAAGAGGACCATCTCCCCACGCACTGTGATGCAGGGTGCGTGTGTTCAGCCCCATAGAAGAAGGCATCTCCTGCAATCGATGACTAAATATATAATAAATAAATAAATAAATCAAAGAGGCAGTGGTTTAGTGAGTGGCACCATGCGCGATGATTAATCAGTGTGTAGCTGGATCCTGGCAGCGCACAGAAATCTAGTCCGCATCATTCCCTGACAGCACTACGAGAGAGGGGAGGCAGAGGCACGGCTCGGATCTCAGGTAGGCTCCAGCATCTCATTGATGGCTTCTCATCCTATCAATTTTTTTAATCTTAATTTGTTTTATGCAAGTTGAATGAATGCATCACTTCATTCAGAAAAAGAGAGAGGGAGACGCGCTGTGCAGCTCTTAGGATGGACTGCATCTCATTGCTTGTGTTAATTTGATGGAGGAAATCATTTGAGTGAAAAATTTATGAATGGGTGCATTACAATCTGTATGCACAACGGGCTCCACGGTTAAACCTGGAGCAGCAGCAGTGCAAATGTAATGCAAGCATCCTAACTCATGCAGAGGCTCTGATGTTCATTGACTCCTTAAACGTTGTCAAGTGCTTTGATTCTGGACCAAGTTTATTCACTGATAGCTGGTTGTTTTGAATGTAACTCACAGTTAAGCAGGTCATGCTTAAACTCAAGCTTTAAGTCTCCACTTAAAGAACCTCATTTCCTGATTAAGCAGTCCTTTCTTAGTGCAGATCCAATATGAGGAAGCAGCACTGGTCAGTTATTTTGGAGATTGAGTTGTTGCAGTCCCTGGGCGTTGCTGCAGGATTTTTTTTTTAAAGCACATGCTGGTGTTTGATCTGCTTGCAGCCTAGAAAGGAATGACATTAGTGTAGCCTCCAAAAATCAGCAGGGCAGCTTTAAACTCCAGCTGTGGCTCTGGACAGGTGATTCACTTGTTTACAAGTGAGCTCCTTCATTGTTAAGATTTTTGCACCAGAAGTGTGAGAAAGGCCCAGCATGGATCATTGACACTGATGTCATAATTGAAAAAACAAAACACTGTCTCCTCCATCATCTCCAACCTATGGACTTGAACTACTGGGATTAGATGGGGGAGGGGAGAAAAGACTGAATGAACAGTCGGAGGCATATCTGCTGCTGCCTCCCTTCACATGAGCAACCACAGTATGGGTACTGGCCGACACCCCTCTATATATTTCTTTGTCTTTGTGCTAGCCTCTTGTCATTTTGTGGACAGAAAAGGGTATACAGAACAAAAGAGCAGAGTAAAGACGAGCACAAATTAGGGACAGGGAGCTTCTGTGAAACAGGAGTATTTGGGTAAAACATGGGAATAAAGATGGAGGGATGGAGTAAGTGCTTTTCACATCAACTGCATTATTTAAAGCTGGATGCCGCTGTACCCATAATCCCATGTTTTCAGTGTCTTCCTTTAAAACCGTCCTCTTATTTCACTTATGCCAGCTGCATCTATGACCTGTTCTGTATGGGCTTTGAAATTAGGTGCAGGTAGCATGAAAACACAGATGTGTGGAAACATGGGCAGACACATGTATGCAAAGCATTTCATCACTCCGACTGTCGTCTTTTGATTTTGCTGTTACCATGGCCACAATTGGTAAAGGTGGGTGACTCTGTTCTTCTGTGGTCCTCACTCTCCATAAAATATACACTCTTGATGTACAAATTGGGGAGTCAAACTTTACAGCTTTATAGATTTTTAGTGACCAATTTGTTAAGGGGGATGCATAATGTTATTTGTGCTGGAGTTTCAGTAGGGAGTGGCTTCATTTTCACATCTTAATAAAATAAATAAAAAATCTACACAACAATATTTTGTAGTGTTTATTGATTTTATACAAATTTCCCCCCTTTGTTAAATAGTGTAAATGGCCAAAACTTCAACGTTTTCACAGTTATTTCTAAGACGTTTACGTTTAGAGTCAAATGGTAATCTTCATTTATTCATTAAAATTTTTTCAAAAGCTGCACTAAAGCATTTCCAAAACGTTCTACAATGTGCAACCAAAAAAAAAAAAAAAAAATCATATTTTGGTCTATATGCAACACTGTGCGGCTGGAAAAATGACAGCAGATCAATTGGATTTTATTCCACTATATAACATGGTATTGAAGGCAAGAGGAACGCTGAAAGCGGCCAGAAAAAATCTATAAATAGACAAAAAAACTTTACAGAATTACTTTGCTTATATGGTTTGTCTTCCTCATTTTATTTTATGTCAAAAGCTGGGACAAAGCCTTCTTGTCTCCAGACCAGCTGTCAATGTAACAATGTAAAACTGTAATTAAACCAATAAAACTAGAAAACAAGGAGCAAAGTAAAGAACAACAGAACCAAGACCATGACAGTTAATAATATTGAGCATTTAAACATTTTCAGAAATTTCCAAATGAACATATCTAAAAGAGCATTAGAATAGAAAAGAAACAATAAAATATGTTTATCATGTATGAAGTTTTGGTGAAGGCTGACTCTTTCAGTTCATAGGTCCATATTGGTCGCGTGCTTCAGACCATAACACCTTCTTCTTATCTGAGCTCAATTCATTGAGTGTTTCCCACTTATTCAATACAGAAAACTAATGCTGCAAATCAGCCTGATTACATGGAGAAACCTGGTAGCGGCAGCAGCATGTTGTGAGGAAGCTTGTTGGTTGAGTGGAGGAGTTGTGAAACACTAGAATTACCACCTAAGTGACTGTTCTTTGTTATTTATTGGATGGTTATGGATTGTGAAATTAAACACAATAGCAATCAATGTATTCATTAAACAAACTGGGATGGTATCCCATTTATCCAGTCACTCAAAGTTGTTGTGTTGTTTTCTCCAAAAAAGCAGAGTCGAAACTGCAGGAAGGTTAGTCTATTGTCTCGATAAGGAAATTCTGGAGGGAGACTGTAGACTATTCTGTTTGGGCGAGCTTTGACATCTTGGAGAGCACCAACTCTAAGAGAGTGAGGTTTTATTATTTAACTCTTATCTGTTTGCATTGATTTTACCTCCAACGAGGACATGCCTTGTTTTTCCAGTGAAGGAGATGTTTGCTCACATCATCACACTGCCTCCACATAAGGCTGTTGGGCAAAGGATTTTGGCTGTTTTTTTTTTTTAAAGGATGCAACCTACATGCACAATGCTACAGCTCAACTAGCAGATGGATTTTCCTTATAAATATTGCATAATATAGTCGGAAATAAGCCGACTTTTTTCAGTCTTGTGACACCAGTGGCCATTATTAATCAGCAGCTTAAAAAGAAAAGGTGCAGTCAGAGAAGGGCAGGACATTCATTAAATAGTGCAGGGTTGGGAATTGAACTCATAACAGTTTTATGGAGGAACATAGGCGTCATTTATAGTACACCTGCTGACTGAGTCACGTCCCCCCTCCAAAAATAAAGAGGCCTTATTACGAAGAAGCATTATTATTAGAAAGAAATCAACCAAAATACATCTCTTTTTTGGGAATGTTCATCATACGATCTAAAAAAAAATGCACCAAAGCTTTTTTCTAAAAACGTTTCACACTCTGAACTACATCAGCTTGCCAACTGAGATGTGTTGAGAAATACCCAGGGGTATTGTAACTGCTAGTTCATCTCCAGGGCTGGATGGAGAGTCGGATAACCCGCAGGTGAAATGTGCCAACAAAGATTCCCTGAATGTGGAGTATCTCCACATTGAATGCTTCAGTTTACAAGGGGAGCTGCTGAGTGTCTTTACAAGCAGCCCCTCTGATTTAAAGCTTCTGTCTGCTGCCTGTTTCCCAGAGATGGGAAAGGATCATGGGAGGGAATTAAAGGAGCCTGACTGACCAATGCATCAGCAAGCAGTCGTCAGAGTCCCACCTCTTCCCTCTGGGGCATACTAGAAAGAATTACCATCAGCCCTGCAAATATGAGACTTTCTGCAGGCTCTTACTGAGTGCAGTTAATTCACTGCTTCATGTCGTATTGCTTTTTTCAGACACACTTGAGTTCCAAAGAAAGGCTGCGACACAAGTTCTTTCTGAATCATATAAGACTAATCCTAGAAAATGACGGTCAGGAGACATTTTCTGATACAGATCTTAGGTAAATCCTATTGATTGCGGTGCACAGTGTCTGATATGGATTTGCTGTGCATTGAGTTGCTTTAAGAATGAAAAACCTAGCAAAGTAGGTCTGTTAATTAGAGCCAAAATTTGTAGCAGGGTAACAGCAGGGTAGATTGTCGGTCACTGGACGGTCTTTTCCTGTTTTTTCTCTAGCGAGGCATGTCCTGGAGCCGTGCCGGCCTAGCGGATGTATCTGTGTTTATTAAAGCGTTACGGCTCCCTCACATTTAGAAGGTGAAGAGTCCTCACAGATGGTCCTGCAGATGGTCCCCGTCACACCAGCACTGTGAGCACAAAACATTGATAATTTGTCAGCGCAAAGATCAAACAGACTACCACACATACTGTCACCCAAAACAGAGTTTCTCAATCTGTGGCGCTCTATGATTCACCCTCCTTTCACCTAAATCCACTTTAAGGTGCAGAAGGCACGTACTAATGCTTTAAAGAGAGAACTTACTCAGAGCAAAGGGCCATGTGGTTGAGGGTTGTAAATAATTAAAAAATGCTGAGTGATGAGTTCTTTCTGCAGTGGAGGGCTCTGTGTGGTGCATTGCTTTACAGTCTTGCGTCGTTCCGAGGCACAGTGTGTTACCATGTTGGCATCTCAGCATTTTCTTAAAAGATGGAAGGAGCTTTGCCATCTCAGTGGGAGTGGATGGTTTCCTCATGTTGTTTTTCTGTCGTCTCCATCATTCACTCTGAGTGACTAATGTTTAAGCGTTAGACATCAGAGACTAAATCTGTGAAGTTGGCTTAAAAGGCTGTAATGCCATTAGATGGATAAGTAGTCTTCCCACCCCCAGAAGTTTTGCTACATATTTCAAATTTGATTTAGATCACTACTTTAACTAGACCTTTCTAACACTCTTTTTGTCAGCCACAATGGAAACTGTCCCTGCAGTCTCATGTGTTTAGCAATTGTTAAAAAAATGTCTTCACATATTGTCTTGTGTTTAGCGTCATCCATTTTCCAGTCAACTTTAAACCAACTTCCTGATCCCTGCTGAGGAAATGTATCCCCACAGAATGACACTGCCATTACTATATTTCGCTTTGGCAAATGTGGGTTCGAACCAATGTGTCATATTAGTTATCGGCTGCATATAGCATTTTGCATATAGGTAGATTAGAT